GTGGTGGTCGTGGTGGTGGTGGTGTTGGTGGTTATGTTGGTGGTGTTGTTGTTGTTTATGTTGAAGAGGAAAACGAAGATGAAGAAGAATATGAAAAAGAAGATGAAGATGATGACATACCTGTTATGCTGTTTACTGTGAAGTAGGTAGACACTACACCTGTCTCAGAGAAGGTGAAAGAATCCAGAGAATTCGGATTGTCAACGACTGGAATGTAGATTGTTGACCCTTGTGCAAGGTCAGAATCGATTGTGACGGAAGTCGGCAAACCACTGAATGTTGGAGCACGTCCTGTCAAACAAACCGTTTTATAAAATTTAACAATTAGATGCTGAAGTACTTTTTGTCAATTAGACCACATAACAGTATGTAACAAGAGGCGTCTTGACGGTCACCTGAGATAAACAATATCGAATATAAAGGCTAAAGTATTGTTATCAAGTGTCATGAAACAAAAATTGTGACACTGGATGTAAACAGTTTCAATACATGCATTTCATCAAAACTGTCAGCCTCTACTGATAATTCTTATAAAGTTAATTGCAGTGGGAAAAAACCAATGTTATGCTTAAAAATGCATTTTTTCTATGAAAATGACGGTAAAGTCTAAAAAAATGTATTCCTCCCCAGACTGTATAATTCACAATTTTCTTTATCATAGTACAGGGAAGGTTTCTGCATAATTTCATTTAAATTGGATCAGGGGTTTTTCAGAAGAAGTTGAAAGTGTTAAATTGTTTACGGACGCACGACGTACGACGCCGGATGAAGGGTATTAGACCACGACACTTTGTCTCAGGTGACCTAACAATTAGTTGAACTATAGAATGTACCATGAAGTCAGAAGCTAAATTATCCTGTGTAAACATTAACATGTCGTCTAGTTACCTTGTTCTGTATAAGCTTTTATACCGAATGTTGCATCATTATCGTTTTTCGACAATGTGACGGTCTCCCCAACATTGGTGTTGGTCATATCTTCCATGTAGTAATTATTCTTTATTGACTGTCCTCCTTTTCTATAAGCCACCAGGATATCGAAGTTACTGCAATACCTGTTTACCAGAAGGTAGCGAAAACATCGTTAGTTTGAAACGTTCATTTTTGCGCTTTTTGAGGACGAAGAAAAGCCACGAAATCCTGTAATGTCATATCTCCTCATATCGATTGTCAAAATCTAGTTATCTTGAATACGATCAAACGCATCGGATATAGATGTTATGCTTTATAATGGTATAGAGTAAGTAGGTGGTCGAATGGCGCAGTGGTAACGATTTCGCCTTTCCTCCAACCGTTCAGGGTTCGATTCCTTGAACGGCCGTGAAAAGGTAAGGGGTCACCTGATGACCACGTGGGTTTTTCCCCCGGGGTACTCCGGTTTCCTCCCATAATGAGACATTCGGGTTTATTAGAATGATTGGTATAAGTAACAATAAGTTGTTTCGCAATTGTCATAGAATAAATAAGGATCATATTAAATGTATACCAGCCAATCCGGTCACCAGGTTCCACGATAATCTGTTCCGCTTCCGGGATATTAAACGTAAGCAACTCCCCCAGTTCCTCTCCACCCGGGGGATTCACGGAGGCTGAAATAGTTTCACAAAACTTCATGTTAAAATGTTTCTTAATTCTCCAACACAGTATTGTGTTCTTTATTTATTTAATTTTTTTTCGAGAAGCTGCCCAACAAGTTGTTTTCATTGTAAGTTTTTCATATTATGATGATTCTGTCTCAAACTTCACTCCATCTTCAATACTCCATTGGTTGTTCTCCCTATCGCTGTCTGTATACTTGCCGGAACATTTCATGGCAAAATTGAAAGTTCTTTGAGCGAAACATTGTGGACAAGACGAGAGACTGTTTAATCCTTTGATAAACATAAGACGAATCTCGATGTCGCATAACAGTACTTTGTACTGGCTTTGAAGTTGAATGCCGCTCCTTTATAATCTTCAAAGAAGGGTATCTGTCTGTGATTGGTCAGTTTTTTATCTCCTGAAACCCAATCATATTACTTCATTTGTGCCTTCAATTTTGCCATGGAATGTTCCAAGGGTGTAGTGCACGATAATGCTAGTTACCATTGGATAATGGAGTAGGATTTAACTCTAGTGCTGATAAACCAAAACAAAATTGTAACAGTACTTTGTTATTCCATTTACAAACTCATTTAAATCACATTCCAATATAGTAACAAATTATTTTTTGATAAAACTGTCGTCATGGTTCATTGCAAAACTTTCCACGCTGTTGGTTTTATTCGACGTTAAATGACGATGAGGTCAATTTCAACATTAAAACCATTGATAACGGGTATGGTCACTGTTTGCGAGAGAGAAAAAGAGACAGCGTGACACTCGTGGTATGGAACACGCATACCGGAGGATAAGTCGAGGCGATATGTTGTTACATCCATCGTATAAGTCTATAGCTGGTTCCTGTAAATTTGACGGATGAGTTAAAGGTTTACTCACGTGTTGATCAAGAGCGTCCCAAACATGCTCAATTGGTTACAAATCTTGTGATTTCGATAGCAGAAAATGTTCACCTAGCGCGAATGGTACGCGTTGGCGCGTTAACCTGCTTTAAAATTGCGCGAAAGTCATGGCGTCGAAAGAATGATAACCATTTCATTTCAGCAACGCAGCAGTTTCCAAAACACTTCCCTTGTCGCTTCCACACTGTTTGCTTCTGTCATCGTATCGTTGACAGCATTGGACCTGTTTTGAAAATAGTGCATTGTCCCTGTACGGTCCAGCGACGGTGTACTCGGGTGTAGATAAGATTCTTACGGCCTAGTGTGGGAACGTCAAAGTAGTATGCTTTCCACCTGTTGGGAACGGTAACGTGTGGACGTACCATCCCTAGAGCGCTTATGAATCAATTGTGCAGGTGTGGTAATCATATATGACGGCCACCCCTCGCGGTCGATTTGCGGGGTCGGACGTTTCGAGGACGATTAGATATTGACCTCGGTTCTTTTAAATGACTTAGCAACTGGGTAAAATGTCGTAACGCTGCAACGGAAATATGTCGCAATTCGACGTCGACATTCTCTAATCTGTATCATTCCTACAGCCCCTTCCTCCTGTATTTGTGACAACCGGATATAATGATAAATTGGTTTATAGAATTATTTGGTGAATTCTAAGTGGTCAGAATCTACGGCACGGGTGTCAGTTTGATTTGTTTTGAAAGTCATATGAAGGTACAAGTTAGTCGCAGAAAATCTCAGCAAGCTCTCCCCATAAATCTTTCACGGTTGAATGATTTTTATGTATTTCCCCTCGAATTTTGTAATGTAAACTTCTGTCATTTTCTTACATTACAAAAAACATGACATTGTTTTAACTTATTTACAAGTAATCGCCAACAAAACTCGCAGTACAAACTGCCTACACCTCGTCATCTACCACTAGCAAGCCTTACCTATACTGCGGACGTTTTTCCCCACAAGTCTTTCGTCGTCCGTCCCAGCTGACTTCCAAACCATTAGTTCTATAGATCCCGTGTATCCGGCAACTATCTCCCAGGATGTGATAACACCACAACAGTGAAACGTGTACAAGGAGTCTCGAACCACGTACCCACGAGCTGTCAATGAAAAAAATAGCACGTAGTTTTCGCAAAAACATATAGATACAAATTTCACTGCATTGTCATATTTATTTGCAATGAATAAACATTATTCGTCCGTGATATTACATCTGAAATTAAGAACAGAGTTTAAAGAGTAACTAAAAGCTATCAGACGCTAAGTCGCGTGGACATGATTAATCAGCAGCTGTATCTACTATCGAAGTGACGCAGTATAGATCACATGGTGTCAGCTATCACTTTATACAACCACTAATAGTGATACCGTCAAATCATACAGAACACGACGTCAATGACGTAACATACCAAAAACATGGGACTAGATTTGGAGAGGAGATGACGTCAGGAAATACCTGGACATTTCTTACAAGACTTTAAGTTAGACTGAAACAGATTTGCTTCAGCAAGTTGGATTACTATATCGCCACTCATATCTATATATACTGTATATTTGTTTACTGTTCTGTTCTGATATTTCGCGCTCGTTCCAATCAGGACTACAGTTAATTCTGTCTTTACCATGTCTATACATAGGTATACATGTATATAACATAGATTTCAAAATGTTTTTATTTACAATTAGATCATATATTTTCTGGGTATTTAATTCCTTTTGATGACCGAGGAAACAGCGTAATTAAAAACCCACAAATATTACCAACTGTTTAGTATCAAAGAAATCAAACAGAAATCCACAATAGAACAACAACCCAAATCCAAAATCAACATACAAACACACATATACACTACACTGACAATGTCTTTCATTACAACTTGGTTTTATCACGATTATCAATCAGAGCTTAGCACTTAGACAGACCTGCATTATACCAGACCGAGTCACATAGAGTGATATCTGTTGTAGAGTAATAATAGCACGTTATACTTTCAGCAAAATGTCTTCTCACCTTCTTTGTTTTCCAGTTTCTGATCCTTCTTCACCAAGTCTGTGAACCCAGTGTGATTATGGACACTTCCACAGGACACGGCAGATGTCACTGTAACATAGAATAGCCGTAACGCAAACGTTAGGATTTACAAGTGATGAAACACAACAGAACAAAACATCACTGTATGTCCTTGTGTTACAGACTTACGCTGGCAGGTCAGGCGTAAAACATGTAGCTGTTTTTCACATTTCGTGACCATAAGATGCAATTCAAATTGAGTTCTTGATCTTCTTTTTCCTTTCTAAAGAAAGTGCATCCCCCCCCCCGGATGTCTCTTTCGATTCGACCTAACTTTTGACCTCCTGATGTCTCTATTGACACTACCTGACTTTTAACCTCCTGATGCCTCTGTTGAAACTACCTGACTTTTGACCTCCTGATGTCTCTATTGACACTACCTGACTTTTAACCTCCTGATGTCTCTGTTGACAATGTCTGACTTTTGACATCCTGATGTCTCTATTGACACTCCCTGACTTTTGACATCCTGATGTCTCTATTGACATTACCTGTCTTTTGACCTCCTGATGTCTCTATTGACACTACCTGACGTTTGACCTCCTGATGTCTCTATAGACACTACCTGACTTTTGACCTCCTGATGTCTCTATTGACACTACCTGACTTTTAACCTCCTGATGTCTCTGTTGACACTACCTGACTTTTGACCTCCTGATGTCTCTATTGACACTACCTGACTTTTGACATCCTGATGTCTCTATTGACACTACCTGACTTTTGACATCCTGATGTCTCTATTGACACTACCTGACTTTTGACCTCCTGATGTCTCTATTGACACTCCCTGACTTTTGACATCCTGATGTCTCTATTGACACTACCTGATTTTTGACATCCTGATGTCTCTATTGACACTACCTGACTTTTGACATCCTGATGTCTCTATTGACACTACCTGACTTTTAACCTCCTGATGTCTCTATTGACACTACCTGATTTTTGACATCCTGATGTCTCTATTGACACTACCTGACTTTTGACCTCCTGATGTCTCTATTGACACTACCTGACTTTTGACATCCTGATGTCTCTATTGACACTACCTGACTTTTGACATCCTGATGTCTCTGTTGACACTACCTGACATTTGACATCCTGATGTCTCTGTTGACACTACCTGATTTTTGACATCCTGATGTCTCTGTTGACACTACCTGGCCTGACTTTTCAGAGTTGAACACCATCAAGTGAGAATAGGTGTTTGAACTGTTTTTAGTCAGTAAAACTGTATTTCTTGTTCTTTGTTGTCGGTCAGCATGAACAGGTTAGCCCACGCTATTGTCAATATGATATGACTTTGTGGAATATCATGCTACTGTGATCGGGTAGACATTTCAGTGTGATAACTCTATAAATGAGTTCGTAAGTGGCCCATTATTCAAAGACGAGGGCGTATAACCACAAACGTAGTACTCCCGTCATTTCAAAAAGAAGAAAAAGAGCCCTGCCATCAGAACATTCTCAGGTCGTTGCTTTCGGCGAAATTTAAAAACTTAACTCATCTGGAAATATATTTAGGTTTAACAGTTAAAACAGTCATGTTAGCTATATAACACATAAAACATATATATTACAGATATATTACAGTTATAACAGATATATTACAGATATAACAAATATATTACAGATATATTACAGTTATAACAGATATATTACAGTTATAACAGATATATTACAGATATAACAGATATATTACAGTTATAACAGATATATTACAGTAATAACAGATATATTACAGATATAACAGATATATTACAGATATAACAGATATATTACAGATATAACATATATATTACAGTTATAACAGATATATTACAGATATAACAGATATATTACAGATATAACAGATATATTACAGATATAACAGATATATAACAGTTATAACAGATATATTACAGTTATAACAGATATATTACAGATATAACAGATATATTACAGATATAACAGATATATTACAGATATATTACAGTTATAACAGATATATTACAGATATAACAGATATATTACATTTATTACAGATATATTACAGATATAACAGATATATTACAGTTATAACAGATATATTACGGATATAACAGATATATTACAGATATAACAGATATATTACAGTTATAACAGATATATTACAGATATAACATATATATTACAGATATATTACAGATATAACAGATATATTACAGATATAACAGATATATTACAGTTATAACAGATATATTACAGATATAACAGATATATTACAGTTATAACAGATATATTACAGATATACAGATATATTACAGTTATAACAGATATATTACAGTTATAACAGATATATTACAGATATAACATATATATTACACATATATTACAGATATAACAGATATATTACAGATATAACAGATATATTACAGACATAACAGATATATTATAGTTATAACAGATATGTTACAGATATAACATATATTACAGATATATTACAGATATAACAGATATATAACAGATATATTACAGATATAACAGATATATTACAGTTATAACAGATATATTACAGATATAACAGATATATTACAGTTATAACAGATATATTACAGTTATAACAGATATATTACAGATATATTACAGTTATAACAGATATATTACAGATATTACAGATATATCACAGATATATTACAGATATAACAGATATATTACAGTCATAACAGATATATTACAGATATAACAGATATATTACAGATATAACAGATATATTACAGTTATAACAGATATATTACAGATATAACAGATATATTACAGATATATTACAGATATATTACAGATATAACAGATATATTACAGTTATAACAGATATATTACAGTTATAACAGATATATTACAGATATAACTGATATATTACAGTTATAACAGATATATTACAGTTATAACAGATATATTACAGATATAACAGATATATTACAGTTATGACAGATATATTACAGATATAACAGATATATTACAGATATATTACAGATATAACGGATATATTACAGATATATTACAGATATATTACAGTTATAACAGATATATTACAGATATAACAGATATATTACAGTTATAACAGATATATTACAGTTATATTACAGATATATTACAGTTATATATATTACAGATATAACAGATATATTACAGTTATAACAGATATATTACAGATATATATATTACAGATATATTACAGATATAACAGATATATTACAGATATAACAGATATATTACAGATATATACAGATATATTACAGTTATAACAGATATATTACAGATATAACAGATATATTACAGATATATTACAGATATATATTACAGATATAACAGATATATTACAGATATAACAGATATATTACAGATATATTACAGATATATTACAGATATATTACAGATATATTACAGTTATAACAGATATATTACAGATATAACAGATATATTACAGATATATAACAGATATATTACAGATATATATATAACAGATATATTACAGTTATAACAGATATATTACAGTTATAACAGATATATTACAGATATAACAGATATATTACAGATATATATATATACAGTTATAACAGATATATTACAGATATAACAGATATATATTACAGATATATTACAGTTATATATATTACAGTTATAACAGATATATTACAGATATATATTACAGATATATATATTACAGATATATTATTACAGATATATAACAGATATATTACAGTTATAACAGATATATTACAGATATATATATTAGAGATATAACAGATATATTACAGATATATAACAGATATATAACAGATATATATATTACAGTTATAACAGATATATTACAGTTATAACAGATATATTACAGATATAACAGATATATTACAGATATAACAGATATATTACAGATATAACAGATATATTACAGATATAACAGATATATTACAGTTATAACAGATATATTACAGATATAACAGATATATTACAGATAACAGATATATTACAGTTATAACAGATATATTACAGTTATAACAGATATATTACAGATATATTAAGATATAACAGATATATTACAGATATAACAGATATATTACAGATATATTACAGATATATTACAGATATATATATTACAGATATATATATTACAGATATAACAGATATATTACAGATATAACAGATATATTATATTACAGATATAACAGATATATTACAGATATAACAGATATATTACAGTTATAACAGATATATTACAGATATAACAGATATATTAAGATATAACAGATATATTACAAATTATAACAGATATATTACAGATATATATATTACAGTTATAACAGATATATTACAGATATAACAGATATATTAGAGATATAACAGATATATTACAGATATAACAGATATATTACAGATATAACAGATATATTACAGTTATAACAGATATATTACAGATATATATATTACAGATATAACAGATATATTACAGATATAACAGATATAATATTACAGATATAACAGATATATTACAGATATAACAGATATATTACAGTTATAAGATATATTACAGATATATTACAGATATATATTACAGTATATATATTACAGATATATTACAGATATATTACAGTTATATATATTACAGATATAACAGATATATTACAGATATATTACAGATATATTATTACAGATATAACAGATATATTACAGTTATAACAGATATATTACAGATATAACAGATATATTACAGTTATAACAGATATATTACAGATATATATTATATTACAGATATATATATTACAGTTATAACAGATATATTACAGATATAACAGATATATTACAGATATATAACAGATATATTACAGATATAACAGATATATTACAGATATATAACAGATATATATATTACAGATATATAACAGATATATTACAGATATAACAGATATATTACAGATATAACAGATATATTACAGTTATAACAGATATATTACAGATATATTACAGATATATTACAGATATATATTACAGATATAACAGATATATTACAGATATATATACAGATATATTACAGATATAACAGATATATTACAGATATAACAGATATATTACAGTATATAACAGATATATTACAGATATATTACAGTTATAACAGATATATTACAGATAACAGATATATTACAGATATAACAGATATATTTATAACAGATATATTACAGATATATTACAGATATATATACAGTTATATTACAGATATATATTACAGTTATAACAGATATATTACAGTTATATACAGATATATTACAGATATATACAGATATATTACAGTTATAACAGATATATTACAGATATAACAGATATATTAGAGATATAACAGATATATTACAAATATATATATAACAGATATAATATTACAGATATATTATTACAGTTATAACAGATATATTACAGTTATAAC